GTGTGCAGTTCACAATCTCACCACTAGATGCCGCTGAACATCACACACTGCAGCTTTAAGTGAAGTGTTGCAGAATGTGTGTTTCAGTTGAGGATGATCGCAGTGGTTTGAGTGTGAGTACCTGGAAGCCGCCCAGTGTGATGGTGACGGACACGTCCAGCGGTTTGTTGACGACTCCAGCCACAGATTTGACCAGAGACATGAAGAGCAGAGGAAACCAGACGATGCAGATGAGCAGCATCACGATCATCCCGCCCATGCCGTACTTCACCACCTTCTTCTTCTTCTGTCCCCGGGGCTGAGGATACCTCTGAAACACAAGCGCAGAAGAGCGAATCATCAGACAGGGGTGTGTGTCCCGAAAGCATCGTTAGCCAACTGTGGTCGCAAGTTACGTCGTTATCAGCAGTTCAACGAGTCGATGTTTCCGGAAACCATCATTCCAACAAACATTCGCAAACAGCGTCGCAGAGGTGTGTCAGATATCGGTTAGAAGCAGTTTCTTGATTTCATGACATCTAGACACAATAAATCCTGATCTTGAGCAAAATAAGCAAGCTGACATTCAGTACAACCTGTGTCTTACATACTGTACAAACGTCATTCACGTCTTTTAGTTTGTCAAGAGGTTTAAAGCGTAGCTTTTGGAGAGTGTGCATGTGTGAACGAGCTCGAGTGTGTGAGAACGAGTCTATGAATGAGAAAAATGAGATGCATGTCTGTAATTTATATCAAAACATCTAGCGTTAATTCGATCTCAAACAATTCATTAAAATAAGTAGGGCTGTCAAACGATTAATCGCGATTAATCGCATACAAAATAAAAGTTTGTGTTTACATAATATATGTGGGTGCACTGTGTATAATTATTTTATATATATAAATACACACACATGCTTGTAATTATTTAAGAAATATTTTCATGGATATATATATATATATATAGATTTATATATAATTTATATTATATATAAATATAAATATATTATATATAAATAATATTTTTTTTCTTAAATATACATGCATGTGTGTGTATTTACATATATACAAAATAATTATACACAGTGCACCCACATATATTATGTAAACACAAACTTTTATTTTGGATGCGATTAATCGCGATTAATCGTTTGACAGCCCTAAAAATAAGTCATTACTCCACACGTGCGTGACGTCATTAACCAACGTGGTTGAAGGGCCATTTTGTGAGACTACAGTTTAGGAAAGGACTAGCTAGTTGATGTCTTCTTCACCCGTGTATCGTACGGGAAACACACCCCAGCATGAGGAGAATGAGCTGATCTCACCTTCTCCGACTCTCTCCAGCACTTGAGCACAAAGATGTGAGCGTAGATGTCCTCCACACAGATCCAGCTGGACAGGCTGAGCGTGGTGTCGGTCCAGACCCAGTCCATCACCGCACGCAGCTCCGTCAGGAACGGCACCAGCCGGAAGCTGAGCACAAACAGCAGATCAGATCCTCTGACATAAACATGCACGGCACCAATACGTCTAAAAATCTCAACAAAACTAGATGTTTTCTGTTTATTTGGCCTAGCGATGTACTTGTAGAGGTACATGTAGAGACGATTATGTCTAAAAATGTGAACAAAACGAGATATTTTTTGGCATAAAGTAATAAGAGGCTGTGTTACAGTGATTTCATGATGATGCTGGTAAAGATTTGAATCCCAACCGTGGTAAAATCACTGTAATGCATGGCCTTATTTGCCCTATCTACATGTACTTCACCATTATGTCCAAAAATGTGAATAAAACAAGATATTTTTTGGCATAAACAAATGGACAGAGGCTGCGTGTTACAGTGATTTTACCACGGTTAGGATTCAAATCATCTGTAAAAGAATCATTATAAAATCACTGTAACACATGGCCTTATTTGGCCTATGTACATTTACTTCACCATTATGTCCAAAAATGTGAACAAAACGAGATATTTTTTGGCATAAAGTATTAAGAGGCTGTGTGTTACAGTGATTTCATGATGATACTGGTAGAGATATGGATCCTAGCCGTGGTAAAATCACTGTAATGCATGGCCTTTTTTGGTCTATGACTTTTATGAACAATGACACCAGCAATATAAAAATAATGTTCAATACATTTATTTTAACAAAAAATAAAAACAAAGTTGATACACCTCGCTATAGACTTTTCAATGTATCTGTCAGTATTTATTTTAAATTAGAATATTTTGTAACATTATCGATGTCTTTCTTTACTGTCACTTTTGATCAATTTAACGCATCATTGCTAAATAAAAGTATTGTAGTGTGTATATATAATAACATTAATGTCATGTTTGACATCTATGAAAGCTTGTTTCCACCAGGGAATATAAACATAAAAATAATTGGGAATTTTTAGCTCACAATTCCAACTTTTTTCTCACAATTGTGTTTATATTTCACAATTCTAGAATTTATATCTCAGAATTCAAATTTTTTTTAAAATTCCGAATTATAAGATCCTCCAGAACTTTGTTTCTTACAATTGCAGGTTTGTATAAAAAATAAAATAAAAAAGGCAATTGTTTTACCCATTAATTCTGAGTTTAGGTATAAACTTTGTGGTAACACTTTACAAAAAGGTTCATTAGATAACATTAGTTAACATGAACTAATTATGACCTGCATGTAGACAGCATTTATTAATCTTTGTTAATTTACTAATACTTTATTAAAATATTGTTTACATTAAACAATGCACTGTGAACTAACATGAACAGCTGTATTTTAATGATCTAACATTAACGAAGATTTATAAATACTGTAACAAATGTATAGCTCATGTTAGCTAATACATGAACTAATGTTAACTAATGAACCTTATTGTAAAGAAACAAGCTCTGAATAACAGAAATGTAAAGAGTGTGTGTGTGTGACTGTAATCTGATGTTGAAGCACACACCCCTGGAAGAGGAACAGGTTGACGTAGTTGTAGCTCTTGGTCAGAAAGTTTCCCAGTACGCGTGTGGGATAACCGCAGCGGATCTGATACGCCGACAGACCGAAGTAGATGCACTTCACAAAGTACCAGAGCTGGGCCACTGTGTTCTGACTGAAACGCCTGGGGGACAAAACCATCCAATCACACGTCAGATCTTCTCAAGCGCGATCAATAACGACATGCCGTGATTGGCTGTGGAGCGTCAGACCTGTCAGTGACGCCGGGGAGAATGAAGAACATCCAGAAGTGAATCCCGAAGACCAGGATGACCTGAAAGATAACCTTCCCCATCACGGTCTTCCTCAGATACAGCGCTCGGTCCACCACCATAGTGCCGAACTGGATCAGAACCATCACCAGAAACGCCTCGGGAACCTGGTCTTCCGACAGGGAGGAAGTGATGTCAGCGGCTGCAGAGTGTTTCTGTGGAGGAAGGAGATTCACTTCAGCTTCATTTGTAGGGGTAAAAGCAATAATTCACCCAAAAAGGAAGTGTATCTCTACAAACCCCGAAGGCCCAGAACCCGAACACGATGATGATGAAGTCCACCGTGTCGGCCAGAAACATGAGCACGTAGACGTCCGTCACGGCGCTGTACTCCGGGTGGATCAGGTTATAGAAGAACTGACGGATGGGAATGTAGATATCCAGAATCCTGAAACAGCACAAACACACACACACAGAGATGCAGTGTTGGGAGTAACTCATTACAAGTAACTTGAGTTATGTAATCAGATTACTTTTTCAAGCAACTAGTAATGCATTACTTTTCAAATTTACATTAAAATATCTGAGTTACCTTTTCAAATAAGTAACGCAAGTTACTTTGTTTTCCCATTCATTGACTGACAGCTCTCCATGTTGAGACAAAATGAAGTACAGAAGCGTGTGTGGGTGTAAATGTGAGCGTGCACTTACTCATCTCACTTGCAAAAAAAGATTAAATATTCCGTGAAATGCAAAATCAGAAAACTATGCTAACCTCCAATAACTAAATATGTTAAATAAAACTTACATTTTTATGCATTTAATCTCACTTCATTGATCAATTTATTTGCTTCTGACCTTCGACGATTCAGTTAAATGAGCAAAAATGACTATAGATTTGTGTATTTCTTAAACTTTCTCCTCCTGCATCTATTCTTCCGTTAGCTGAAAGGTTTGTTCGAGTCTCTACTGGACACGTGTGACTCCGCATTTCCTTCAGCCTGAGGCTTATTATAGTCGAATCAGACCTCTCCGAATTGAATCGTCGAATCCTCGACTATTAGACGTCAGCCCTAGTGTATTGTGAAAAGCGCTCCACAAATGAATATGAATATGATAGTGTGCTGATGTCTTACGTTTTGACGGTGAAGCGCTTGGCTTTGATGAGCTGTTCTCTGAGCTTGTACAAAATAAGCTCCTTGCGACTTTTCTGCTGAGCGCTCAGTGAGCGGCACACACTCGCCCTGCTGCCTGCGGACACACACACACACACACGTACCTTCGGTTAGTGAAATACAGTCATTAATAGGAATCCATGCAATCTGGAATTTCGCATTTCAGTGGTCTAACACCTAATATAATGTGGGACCATTTTTTATAAATAATGATTTTACATCATGATAGCTGCAATATAAGTCAGTATGGTTGTTAGCTGTCATTTTAAACCTGAAACTAAGGATTTTAAACAACGGCTCAACCTTCTTTTTTCATTCCCCGAACAGTCTAGAAAATCACATTCATTTAGAGTCACAACTCCACTATCTCTGCACGGCCTGGATTAGTTCAGATGTGATGAACTAGATTTGATATTCCCTAGTGCTGTGTTGAAAACATGATAATACTTGCGGTGTTCCTGGTCAATAATGAACGGCATGCAAAAAATTGCTTATAAATGTCTTGTTATGCTACATCATCATCACCAAATATTGAAATTAATATTTTTGTCAGCTTGTTTTCTTTCAGTTAAGACAGGTTTTGTATTTGTATTTATCCGACTGATTGATCGTATCTGAGCATCAGTGATTTCAAGTCAAGTCAAGTCAAATATATTTATTTAGCACTTTTAATAATACAGATTGTATCAAAGCTGCTTCACAGTATCAATCAAAACAACTGAACAGTGTTTGTTTATTACTGGAAAAAAAAGACAATCAAGTTTGGTAGAGGAGATCAATGGGATGATGGGTCATTTAATTTGAATATCCCCAATTTGAGAATAAAGTTCATCTCTGCAAAGACTCAAAATAGCTTGTTTGTGCACATGAACGTGTGTGTGTGTGTGTGTGTGTGTGTGCACGGATGCACGAGTATAAATGGATCCATCCCCACATGCACAGGTCCGAGGCCTTTATTTTTGCAAGGCCACATGTACACATGTGAACATGATCATGATGAACTCTATTTGTTTCTCTGATTTTCTACACATTCATTTTCAATGGGCCGTCATTCGTGACCAATATAAGCTCAGATCAATGAGGCATACGATCAATCAGTTTCAAAAATAAAAACAAAACCTGTCCTTATTTAAAGAAAACAAGTTTGAATCCAATATTTGGTGATAAAATAGCGTAACAAGTGATTCATAAGCAATTTTTTGTAGGCCGACCTTTTTTGACCGTGAACATCAAAAAGTGTAACTTTGTGCCATTTTGTGCAAAATAAAAAGCATTTGCGCTGGTTAAACATTAAAGCACACTAGCGTAATAAACAGTGCATTTTTCTTTTATAATTTACGTCAAATTTACTAAATTATCACATTTTTCACTCCAAAACCGAGGTACGTAAGCTCAGACAAACAAGGCATACGACTGATCAATGTCAAAAAGAAATTTAAGACTGGTCCTAATCAAAAGAAAACAAGCTGACAAAAGGATTGAATCCAATATTTGGTGATGATTATAAGATTTATAAGCAAATGTTTGTAGGCTGGTCTTTTTTGACCTGGAGAACATCACAAGTGTTACAATGTGACAAACAATAATCAAAACAAAAATGTGGGAAGTTGTCAGACTCTGGGTGAGTAAAGTTAGTAAATTTTAGTCCAATGAAATAACATTATCCTCTCCAGGTCACAATGACCCGAACACAACTTAACTGGCGAAAACATGTGCTTGAAAACATGCTTGGTTTGACCGTGACTTCTGTGCGAGCTGCTTCATGAGATGTTGCGCTGGACGAGTGTGTACCTGCTTTGGAGCGTGCCGAGCGCCGGGAGACGCTGGAGCTGTGACGCCGGGCCGAGGAGTGTGTTCTGGACACCGGGACTTTCTCTTCACTGTCTGAATCACGAGAGAGGGTCGTCTGAGCGCCGGGCCGGGGCTCTTCTTCATCCCACAGGCCATAGCACTGAGGAGGAAGACGAGGCAATCAAGAGCTTTCTGCGGAAACACACTTGAACTCTTTCCCTGCCATTGGCGGAAATGTCTGTCTTTCTGTGTTTTCATTTTTGAACATGATTTCTGTCCAACATATTGCTTTTTTTAAACCCACATTCAGTGTTGATGAGAAAATAATGCATGAAAGGAGCATAAAACGGGTTATTTTGTTGAAAAGCAGAGGGTCTGTTCTTTCTCTTGATTATTGCATGTTCAGAGAGCCGTTCAATTGTTGTGATTGAGTGATAAAAAAAATTGGTAAAAAAAAAAAGAAAAAAGGTTGCTCTCGATTAATGACGACAGCAGATTATTGCTGAAGTGAAAGCAATCAAATGAAAGAGTTTAAAGCAAATGTATTGGACTAAATTGTTGTATTTGATACAAAATATGTATTTTTACAAAATAATTTGGATTCCAAATTTGGAGCACGGCTTGGTTAGACTTGCGGCTTTGGCTTTATAACAATTTCAAAGTTGATATCACAAAAATATGGAAGCTAAAAAAGGTAATTGCGACTTTTCATCTCACAATTCGGACTTTTTTTCTCACAATTGCGAGTTTACATCTCGCAACTCTGACTTTATTTCTCAGAATTCTAAAATATAAAGTCAGAATTGTGAGATATAAATTTGCAATTGTGTGTTATAAAGTCAGAAATGCGACTTTATATCACGCAATTCTGACTTTATATCTCGGAATTGTGAGATAAAAAGTCGAAATTGTTTTTTCTTTTTTTATTCAGTGGCGGAAACAAGTTTCCATACAAAAATGTAGGTTCCTGTGAGATTTAATTTACCAAAAATAGCCACCGGTGAAAATTGAATTGTGTTCCCCCACCACAAATTAATACATTTATGTCACAATACCACTTGTATTGTGGAACCTTGAGTCTCAGACCATTCCAACAATATTTGAATTTTTTTTTCAATTATGGTTGTAACTGTATTTGTTAACTGTTTATGATCATTATGTATTCTCAATGAGCTTAAGTGGCTACAGATGGAGCTTTGGTGATTGGTCATGTGTTTATTTTAAATGGGTCATGAGAGGTCCTTATAGGTCCTTATTAAAATTTGATTAAAATAAACACAACGCCGCTCACTAGGGATTTAAAATACAGTTTTCATGGAATATCCGATTTGTAAAATCTCTCATAGGACAGAAAGGTTCAAGGGTTACAGGAAGTCAGAGTTTGCACCTTGAGAATGGAGCGGTGGAAGAAGAGCGCGAGGAGCTGGACCAGGTCGTAGTGGACGTATCCCTCTTTCTTCTCCACACCGATGATGTTCGGCGGGTGGAACGGTTTGGACTTGTCCCGCTCTATGGTTTGGTTAAACGGGAAGAAGCCAAACTGGAAGAAGTATTTTATCACTATGGTGACCTGTGTGTGAAAAGTAAGAGTGACATGAAACACAACGACACGTTTACGATGAAACTCTCTCCACTGCTTCTGCATCTGCTGGCGAGGCCGACTAACAGCACATCTACTGATATCAATCTACTGATATTCCTGCAGTTCCCGGATGAGAAATGTTGAATTTTCTGTCGAATTTAAACCACTGAATTTGTGGGAGCGAATTTGCAGTGAAATAAAATGGACCGAAAATTGCCTGTTGAATATTATAGGTTGTATTTTTAAACAGAATGAATATTTTGGAAGTGAAATCTGAAAGGTGAATATGGATTATTGGATGTTTAATAATGAAAATGTGTGTGAAATGTTTTGAATTGAACTATTGACAGAAATAAATACTAAAATATTGAATTTTGAATATTGAATAAATACTGAAATATTTAATTTCAGCCTATAAAAATGCATGCACTAAAAATACAATGCATGAAAGATAATCTGATGATTCACATTCAACGAACGAAATTAACAAAATGACTCGAAAAAAGATTTGTTCATTTTGATGAACGAGTTCGAACAGGAACTTGGTGCTTATAAAACTTAAACTTTGTTATTTATTTATTAAATGAGTGATCGTTTCGCTTGATAAGACCCTTATTCATCGTCTGGTGTCGTTTAAAGCCCTTTGAACAGTTTGCACTGAAACTCTCATTTGGACCTTGAACCGTTTGGTTCCCATTGAAGTCCATTATATGGAGAAAATCCTAGAATGTTTTCATCAAAAACCTTAATTTCTTTTCAACTGAAGAAAGAAAGACATGGACATCTTGGATGACATGGGGGCGAGTAAATTATCAGCAAATATTTTTTTAAAGTGAACTATTTCTTTAAGAGTAACGTCAGCTGATCTCGCACCTCCGTATAGACGATGGCCGTCATCCAGAAGCGCTTGCTGGGCCGGGGCACCGACAGCATGGCCCAGAGGAATATGAGGATGGGCAGCACCAGTGTGGCCACCGACGCCGAGATCATGTGGTTGAGGATGATGACCAGGTAACACACCATCTCCGAGCGAGCCACCAGCGTGTTGTAGAGCGCGTAGAGGAGCTGGAGGAGCTGCGGCTGAGACCGGTAGAAGTGCTCCGACTCCTCCAGCGTCTCGTCGTGGAACATCCTGACGGACAGACCACACGTGCATCAATGCTAAAACTCAACATGTCTTTACACGAGTCTGACGAACACTTTTAAAGATTTGTATTAGAGCTGGGAAACGATTAATCACATCCAAAATAAAAGTTTCTGTTTACATGATATGTGTGTGTGTGCTGTGTATAATTATTTTGTACATATACACAAGTGCATGTGCTGTATAGATTTAAGAAAATCTGTTATGTATCAAATATTTATATTTATATATAATATAAATTATATATATATATATGCAAATATTTCTTAAATATATACATGCACATGTGCGTATTTATACAAAACAATTATACACAGCATACACCGACATATCATGTAAACAGAAACTTTTATTTTGGATGCGATTAATCGGTGCCCAGCACTAATTTCTAAAACTATTTCTAATTCTTTCATTAAAAATTAAGTTAAATTGATCAAATAATACATGTATAATTCCGTATCCGGTTAATTATAATATTAGTAATTCAATGGCACACAAATTGGAAAGTTTCCTGAGAAATAATCCAAATATATTAACTACTAGAATTAATTTAATTCACATAAACCGAAAATAAAAAAGTGTCTTTTAAATTTTGACAAAGATCCATAAAAGGCTTTTAAACAGTTCTTGCCAAAAAAATATATCACATTTATTTTGTCGTCACACTATATGTGTGGAAACCAGCTGTTCATTAAAACAATAAATGTTTGTTTTTTAAATATGGAACAAGAATTGTCTGTATTTAAATGGCTTACATAATAATTATTGGCTTTTCAGCCTCATTTAAAACAAAAGGAAACAAAATGAATGTACTGTCATTTAAAAATTAGCAATCAAAAAAAGAAAAAAATATAATCATATGGGGTTTTTTTTAACTCGGCACACTTGACATAAATAGCCTTGTTTAAAGAACATAACCCAACCTTTTGTAAACAAGCATTTCAGAAACGATTTGCTTAAATTGTAAGTGTTGTTAGCAATATTAATGCGTAATGAGTTGAAACGTGCGTCTGGTGTTATTTTTACACACACTACTGTTCAAAAGTTCGGGGAGAGTTTTATTTTAATCTAAATAAATTTATACTTTTATTCATCAAGGACACATTAAATAAATCAAAAGTGACAGTAAAGACATTTATATTGTTACAAAAGATTGTATTTCAAATAAATGCTGTTCTTTTTTACTTTCAATTAATTAAAGAATAAATGACGGTTTCCACAAAAATATGAAGCCGTTTCCAACACTGATAATAATCATAAATGTTTCTTGATCATCAGATCACATTAGAGTGATTTCGGAACTGACACTGAAGACTGGAGTAATGAACACAGTAATCACAGGAATAAATTACACTTTACTGTATTCAGATTTTTTTCTTTAAGACTGTTCATAACTTTAAGTCAGTTACAATAAAAACGTACATTGGCCTAATTTGATACCGAAAGGTAAAGACTAGCCTTGACTAACTGCTAGTGGGTCATAGTAGATCTTAAGACACCATCTTAACATAATGGCTAAGTTTATACAACTAGTCCCAGGTCACATGACACGGCTCACCTGCTCCTCAGAAGCTCATTGGCCGTCAGCTGATGGCTCATGGACAGCATAGACTGACTCTCATCGGGTGTCCGGATGCGAATCCTCCTGCCGTCAGCGTCCGCATCCAGGCCCGTGGCTTTACTGTACGAGGGAGGGATATCGGCTCGGTCCCAGTCCGGAGAACTGGCCCAGTGTGTGTGTGTGTCTCGTTCGCTCACGGGCTCCTCGACGGTGTCACTGGTGCCCTGGCGCGAGTACAGATCTGTGCGGTGCGAGAGCTCACTAACAGAGACCAGAGAGACACACGTCAGTCTTAGGGGTGACCCACCAACTCCGGCTAAAAATGCTTCATCTCTAGCAAGATTTAAAGGGATAGTTCACACAAAAATGAAAATTCACCCATGATTTACTCATCCACAAGTCACCCGAGGTGTGACTTGACACTCTTCTTTCAGACGAATACAATCAGAGTTATATTAAAAAATGTCCTGGCTCTTCCAAGCTTTATAATGGGAGTGAATGGGTATATGTTTTTGAAAGTCCAATGCGCATCAATCCATGATAAAAGTGCATCTATCATCATAAAAGTGCATCTGTCCATCATAAAAGTGCATCTGTCCATCATAAAAGTGCATCTATCCATCATAAAAGTCCATCTGTCCATCATAAAAGTGCATCTATCATCATAAAAGTGCATCTATCCATCATAAAAGTGCATCTGTCCATCATAAAAGTGCATCTGTCCATCATAAAAGTGCATCTATCATCATAAAAGTGCATCTATCCATCATAAAAGTGCATCTGTCCATCATAAAAGTGCATCTGTCCATCATAAAAGTGCATCTGTCCATCATATAAGTGCATCTGTCCATTATAAAAGTGCATCTATCATCATAAAAGTGCATCTATCCATCATAAAAGTGCATCTATCCATCATAAAAGTGCATCTGTCCATCATAAAAGTGCATCTATCCATCATAAAAGTGCATCTATCCATCATAAAAGTGCATCTGTCCATCATAAAAGTCCATCTGTCCATCATACAAGTGCATCTGTCCATCATAAAGTGCATCTGTCCATCATAAAAGTGCATCTATCATCATAAAAGTGCATCTGTCCATCATAAAAGTGCATCTATCCATCATAAAAGTGCATCTATCCATCATAAAAGTGCATCTGTCCATCATAAAAGTGCATCTGTCCATCATAAAAGTGCATCTATCCATCATAAAAGTCCATCTGTCCATCATAAAAGTGCATCTATCCATCATAAAAGTGCATCTGTCCATCATAAAAGTGCATCTGTCCATCATAAAAGTGCATCTGTCCATCATAAAAGTGCATCTATCCATCATAAAAGTCCATCTGTCCATCATAAAAGTGCATCTATCCATCATAAAAGTGCATCTGTCCATCATAAAAGTGCATCTGTCCATCATAAAAGTGCATCTATCCATCATAAAAGTGCATCTGTCCATCATAAAAGTCCATCTATCATCATAAAAGTGCATCTGTCCATCATAAAAGTGCATCTGTCCATCATAAAAGTGCATCTGTCCATCATAAAAGTGCATCTATCATCATAAAAGTGCATCTGTCCATCATAAAAGTGCATCTATCCATCATAAAAGTGCATCTATCATCATACAAGTGCATCTGTCCATCATAAAAGTGCATCTGTCCATCATAATAGTGCATCTGTCCATCATAAAAGTGCATCTATCCATCATAAAAGTGCATCTATCCATCATAAAAGTGCATCTGTCCATCATAAAAGTGCATCTGTCCATCATAAAAGTGCATCTATCCATCATAAAAGTGCATCTATCATCATACAAGTGCATCTGTCCATCATAAAGTGCATCTGTCCATCATAAAAGTGCATCTGTCCATCATAAAAGTGCATCTGTCCATCATAAAAGTGCATCTATCATCATAACAAGTGCATCTATCATCATACAAGTGCATCTGTCCATCATAAAAGTGCATCTATCCATCATAAAAGTGCATCTATCCATCATAAAAGTGCATCTATCCATCATAAAAGTGCATCTGTCCATCATAAAAGTGCATCTGTCCATCATAAAAGTGCATCTATCCATCATAAAAGTGCATCTGTCCATCATAAAAGTGCATCTGTCCATCATAAAAGTGCATCTATCCATCATAAAAGTGCATCTGTCCATCATAAAAGTGCATCTGTCCATCATACAAGTGCATCTGTCCATCATAAAAGTGCATCTATCATCATAAAAGTGCATCTGTCCATCATAAAAGTGCATCTATCCATCATAAAAGTGCATCTATCATCATACAAGTGCATCTGTCCATCATAAAAGTGCATCTGTCCATCATAATAGTGCATCTGTCCATCATAAAAGTGCATCTATCCATCATAAAAGTGCATCTATCCATCATAAAAGTGCATCTGTCCATCATAAAAGTGCATCTGTCCATCATAAAAGTGCATCTATCCATCATAAAAGTGCATCTGTCCATCATAAAAGTGCATCTATCCATCATAAAAGTGCATCTATCATCATACAAGTGCATCTGTCCATCATAATAGTGCATCTGTCCATCATAATAGTGCATCTGTCCATCTTAAAAGTGCATCTATCCATCATAAAAGTGCATCTATCCATCATAAAAGTGCATCTGTCCATCATAAAAGTGCATCTGTCCATCATAAAAGTGCATCTATCCATCATAAAAGTGCATCTATCATCATACAAGTGCATCTGTCCATCATAATAGTGCATCTGTCCATCATAATAGTGCATCTGTCCATCATAAAAGTGCATCTGTCCATCATAAAAGTGCATCTATCATCATACAAGTGCATCTATCATCATACAAGTGCATCTGTCCATCATAAAAGTGCATCTATCCATCATAAAAGTGCATCTATCATCATACAAGTGCATCTGTCCATCATAATAGTGCATCTGTCCATCATAATAGTGCATCTGTCCATCATACAAGTGCATCTGTCCATCATAAAAGTGCATCTGTCCATCATAAAAGTGCATCTATCCATCATAAAAGTGCATCTATCATCATACAAGTGCATCTGTCCATCATAAAAGTGCATCTGTCCATCATAAAAGTGCATCTATCATCATACAAGTGCATCTGTCCATCATAATAGTGCATCTGTCCATCATAAAAGTGCATCTATCCATCATAAAAGTGCATCTATCATCATACAAGTGCATCTGTCCATCATAAAAGTGCATCTATCCATCATAAAAGTGCATCTATCCATCATAAAAGTGGATCTATCATCATAAAAGTGCATCTATCATCATAAAAGTGCATCTATCCATCATAAAAGTGCATCTATCATCATACAAGTGCATCTGTCCATCATAATAGTGCATCTGTCCATCATAAAAGTGCATCTATCCATCATAAAAGTGCATCTATCATCATACAAGTGCATCTATCCATCATAAAAGTGCATCTATCCATCATAAAAGTGCATCTATCCATCATAAAAGTGCATCTGTCCATCATAAAAGTGCATCTATCCATCATAAAAGTGCATCTATCTGTGATTAAAGTGCATCTATGTGCTCCTCACGGCTCTGCGGGGGTTAATAAAGGCCACTAAAGGAAGTGAATCGATGCGTTCATGTAAGAAAAATATCGACTTATGGACTAAAATAACTAGCTTCCGGGAGACGGCCGTACAAAAGTAGACTTACGGCACAAGAGTAACACTTCTATCATGGATTTGTGGACTTCAAAAAAATGGTGTCCATTCACTCCTATTATAAAGATTGGAAGAGCCAGGACAATTATTTTAATATAACTGATTGTATTCGTCTGAAAGAAGAAAGTCATGCACACCTAGGATGAGTAAATCATGGGCTAATTTTCATTTTTGGGTGAACTATCCCTTTAAATATTTACATCAGATGGAAAAGCCAAGATCACATGGAATCTTAAAAACATGTGCTCAAAGATTTGAAGATTTCTATTCATCTGATAAGATGACACGTCACAAACTCGATGGAAACACATTTACCAAACTCATGTGAAGCTGAGAAAATAGCTTTCAACCAGGTATAACATCTGTATTCTCTTGTGTTCTTTTGCATTGTTGTGTTTGTATTACATTGTATCAGATTTGAGTTAAAAGTGCTTTATAAATTATTAAAAGAAAAGACAGAAGTCAGTGATAAGCGATGCATGAATCCACCACAAGAGGGAAGAGTCGTCACAATTTACCCAGAGGTCTTTGAGAAAGTGGCCCTGTTTTAAATCATGAGTCTTCAACTGCTATCTACTAATCATTTGATTCAATGCACTTATTGTTTTCTTCTACACTGGACTTGTATTTTAAAAAAATAGTTTACACTTTATTTTACAGTATCATTGTTACATATGTTACATGTACTTTTCATAGTAATAACAGTCAATTATGCATAATTACATGTAACTATCCATTTTTTTAGGGCTGGGTATTGAGACAAATTTCACAATTCGATTCGATTTCGATTATGATTCGATTCAATATTGATTATTTTGGATATCAGTTACAATAAATGGCAAATTTTCTGAAGGAAATCAAATCTCTTAACTAATGCTGTAAACTATGGGAGTCTAGTTGTAGCCTATAGGCTTCATTAGCCTAATATGAAGGTAATAATAAACTGTTTTGTAGCTATACAAACACTTAAATTACACTTTTATTTATTTTTATAATAAGAAGATTATATGAAATATAAACATTTAAATGGTGGCTGTCATAAAAACTTGCCTTGCATTAAATATTGAAGAACAATAATATTATAATGCATAATATGGTGTATATATTTAGCAAAATGCTCCTCTCTAGAGTTATTTTTTCTAGCTGACTAACGAGTTTATGTGGGTTTTCTGAGGTAAATATGACGATACATGACATTGATTACAAGCTGTTTAACTGACGTCTTTCCACGGTTGAAACGCCGATTGAGTGAATCAATGTGACATGATTTGGATAAGTTGTCCTCTATCTTTAACACACTTTCAGATGCTCATTCATGTTTATTTGGCGCTGTGACTGGTATTATTAAGCCGGAAGAGAGATCAGCGCTGCTGCTTCTCCAGAGCGATCTCACGCCACAGCGACAAAACGCTATTTATGTTTTTGAATTTCTAATGGAAATGGACGTAATTTGAAATTTGAGACTTTGTTTCATATCAATAGTAACAAAGGATAAAGATTATTGCGATTTTTTGGATGCGCGCAGCCGCGATACAATGTCCCATTCATTCAAAAAAACAGGATGACTAAGAATCGATATCGGTTCGTAAAAATGAGAATCGATTAATATCGAGAAATCGATATTTATTACCCAGCCCTACATTTTTTAGTAATATTAATGCGTGAATGTTTTCTACATCCCAGGTGAAAGTCCAGCTTTAATGTTGTTTATATGCATATGTGGTGTTTTTAATGTGCTTTAAGATAAACCGTGTGTGTGTGTGTGTGTTTTAACATTCAGGACAGATTTGATGATCCAGAGTGGCATTGACAGAAACTGATAGAGCTGTAATCACACACACACACACACACACACACACACACCTGGACGCTGCACTGTCCGCAGACGACGACTGCAGGTCTACGCTGGGCACTCGGCAGAGTCTGGCTCGAGTCCGCTGGCTGGTTTTGAGGACGCTGGTTTCCTCAGGCTGGTCGTAAAGCGCAGTGGATTCTGGGAACACACTACACAAAACACACACTCATGATTCACTTACAATACATAACAGGATTTTGCTAGATCTGGCAACATGCTACTCTTTCAAGAGTGGTAATTATTCCCTACCATGGTGAGGCGAAGCCCAATAGTATTATGGAATATATTTACTATGATACCACGGTATTAGTTCAAGGTTTATGAACACACTTTATGCTTTAGTTTAAGGTGTCATTGTTACAGTGTAATTATATATTTAAATACTGAGGAATAATAATGAACAACATTTACTTAATATAGTTTTAGGATTGGGTTAGTTGCGTGTAATTATGCATAATTTACTGTAATTACTATAGTAACTAGATGTAACGTGTGTATCAAGGACACTGTAAAACGAAGTGAAACCCAATTAAGTTTACAGTGTGTACGTGTAGTAATATCTACATCATGCCTAAACCAAACCCTAACCCTATAGTAAGTGCATGTAGTTTATAACTAGTACTCAGTGTTGCAGTGTTATTACACATTTAATTACTGACACCTTATAATTACCGAATACAGTTGATCAGTACCATGGTAATGCTAATGTGGGAGTGCCTTATTATATTTATACAGGTGAAAGTTCGTTTATTTCAGTAATTCAACTTAAAAGCTGAAACTAATATATTATATAGACTCATTACCTGCAAAGTGAGATATTTAAAGCCATTATTTGTTATAATTGTGATGATTATGGCTTACAGATATGAAAACCTTTTCACATTTGGGGTTTTCATAACTGTAAGCCATAATCATCACAATTATTAAAGGAAGTCCGCGACACACGTGTGCTGAGAGGTGTCTCTGTACCTGGACAGGTTGTCCCCGTCACCCTGGGGTGGACGCTCGCTCCTCACAGGACTGAAGTCTGAACACACGTCCTCAGTCCGGTCCAGGCTGGACTGAGCCGACGCCGGGCCGCACATCTGTCTCTGGTAGTACATGTGTACGCTGTCCCGTGAGGGAGTGTTCCCCTGCGGAGAGCAGAGCAGCGCTAACACTTCAGTCCGCTGCTAGCATGAAGCTCATTCATCAGAGGCTAATGATCCACCAAACCGGTCACAGGGGCACGTTTTTAGAAACTGAGATTCATACATCACCTGAAAGCTGAATAAATCACCTTTCTAATGATGTATGGTTTGTTAGGATAGGACAATATTTGGCCCACATTAACTATTTGAAAACTATTTCAAAAATCTGTAATCTGAGGGTGCAAACATTGACCTCGTGTGTGAGCAGATAAAACACTTGAGTGTGTGTGTGTGTGTGTGTGAGCGCACCTTCTTGACCTCGTGTGTGAGCATGCAGCGCTCGATGCGCAGGACGGTGGAGATGTCGATGTGCTCCTGACAGATGGAGTTCAGCCAGGCCGTGAAGCTGTCCAGCAGGGCCAGGAACAGCACCCAGGAGAACTTGACGATGTTAAACACTCGCTTCATGATGTTGTCTAGAGCGGAGAGAGCAGAGCTGGGCTGATCAATATGACGCATGTAACTGGTGAAGGTGATAATAATAACGCCACGGGGGAGGCGGTTGAAGTGTTCACACCTGGACCTTCCTCCTCCTCCTCCTCCTCCTCTGCTGCAGCTTCCTCATGATTCTCCTCGACGGCCACATGCACTGCACACAGAGAACACACCACATCAATACGGGCTCTCGCACCGGATCGTTCAAACATCTAAACACTGGGCTGGTTCCCCGAGAACTAATGGTTCGCCTAGGGTTTGTAATTATTATTATTATTTTAGGAACGTTCGCATCGCCAGGAGGAACTCTGAACTGACGAAAGCCGCGTTTGTTGTTGTGACTGTTGTTTTGACGGCGCTGAGATCGACTGAGCTCACATTCTCCTGTTCATTAGTTGTCTAACAGTAATGTCTAATGTTATTAGATACAAGTATTATTATTATTTTAAGGTGTCATTGTTACAGTGTAATTATATACAGTATTTAAGTACTGAGTAATATTAACTAACTACATGTACTTACTATACGATTAGGGTTTGGTTGAGGGTTAGTTACCTATCTATCTATCTATCTATGTATCTATCTATCTATCTATCTATCTATCTATCTATCTATCTATCTATCTATCTATCTATCTATCTATCTATGTCTGTCTATCTGTCTATCTGTCTATCTATCTATCTATCTATCTATCTATCTATCTATCTATCTATCTATCTATGTCTGTCTATCTGTCTATCTATCTATCTATCTATCTATCTATCTATCTATCTATCTATCTATCTATCTATCTATCTATCTATCTATCTATCTATCTATCTATCCATCCATCTATCTATCTATCTATCTATCTATCTCTCTTTCTCTCTTTCTCTAGTTACCTGTCAATCAATCAATCAATCAATCAATCTACTCATCTATGTATCTATGTATGTATGTATGTATCTATGTATCTATCTATCTATCAAAATTTACACCAAACATTTGATTTTGTTTTTGTTTTTGTAATTTTACACAATTTTATCCAATGTTCATATTTCTATTCTGGAAAATATGCTAATTATGCCATATTTAATTACAAGCCTAATTTACATATTTAAACATAATTAATTTTCATAAAACTCATAATGCAATTTCTTATGTAATCAATCAACTGGGGAAGTGTGGAACTATTATCTACATGGAGAGTCTTGCCTTGACTCTATGAACTGGATGTTTTATGGCCTCTATCTGGCGGCCCGAGCGCTGGGTCTGGATCGGCTGAAACCCCGTCCAGGCTCATATGGGATGAATCGAGCGGAGCGAATGCAACACAGTCCCAGGAATGCCGGGCCTGAAGCCGCCCAGCAGGAGGGATCTGGCAGAGCGAGACGTCCACACACGGCACAGGCTTTAATCAGGCTCACACAGAGTCTATGAAGGACCCGAGCGTGGCATTCTGGGAAACAGAGCGCTATAGAGCGGTCCAGACCAGTCCTAGCGGTGATATAAACAGTCCCAAAGATGGTCCCAAATAACTCAGCGGATCATGACTATATTTGTATAATTGTGATGATTATGGCTTACAGATATGAAAACCCCAAATTCAAAATTAGAATATTGTGAGAAGGTTTTCATATCTGTAAGCCATAATCATCAACATTATAACAAATAAAGGCTTGAAATATCTCACTTTGCATGTAATGAGTCTATATAATATATTAGTTTCTCCTTTTAATCTTGAATTACTGAAATAAATGAACTTTTGCAGGATATTATAATTTTTTGAGTTTCGCCTGTTTGTACTTTGGAAGTCAGAGTTAACAACAGACTGCAATCAATAACAGTCACAGACACACTGTACAAAATTTATCATCATGAGTATTGTAATTTTCATTAAAAAAGGTTATAATTAAAAACATTGTGTATATTTTATTAATAAAATTGTGGTTCAGTGTTTTATTTAAAATATTGAGAATATTTCACTAATAAAACCAAGA